GTAAATTTCGTGCTCCCTAAGACTCTGAGTCAAAAGGCAGTTTCCCCTTTCAGAAAAAAAGAAAAAACGAAAAAAGAGAAAAAGAATGAAAGGAAAGGAAACTAAGAGCCTAAAAGAGTCTTAGGAGCCGAAATCACTTGAGCCAAGGCAATAGGTATTCACTTAAAGAGTTATGAATTCACAACCTTGACAAAAATCCAAGTCTGGGGGAACTATAAGGAGAATCTGAAGAAAGGAGATCAGAAATCTTGAAGCAAGAAGAATGTGACTGAAACTGTGGGGCCATTTACAGTTCCATCCTCTCTTGCTGTTTTGCATAATGTCCTGTCTCTCCAGAAAAAGTAACCCTAAACACATCAGCCTTACCATTAAAAAGCCTTTTTGATACCTAACCTTGAATGCCTTGTTTAATATCATTTTGATGAGAATCACTGAAACTTTTAATGAATGTTAAGAGCTAGTTGACTGGAAGTTAGTTCTAAGTGTGTGGATTTTCGCATGACGGATTAACGGACTAGTTATGTTTGTATTTTGGTGAGAATTTTCTACACTTGATCTGATTGATGCATTGTCCATAATTAAAGTCTAGAAGTATGGTTGCTGATATTTTTGAGTTCCCTCTCATTTTTGTTGAATAATATTTTTCTAGATTTGATCTTGTTTTGTTTGAGGACAAACAAAGTCTTAAGTCTGGGGGAGTTGATAACACCTGATTTTGACCACTTTTCACCATTGATTTCAAATGTTTTTTCAAAGGTTTTATTTTGTTTTAGGAACTTTTATTATGATTTCTATGTATTTGTAGTTTCAAGACTCTTTTCAGGAAACTTAGGGAATATGATAGCAAAATGGAAGAAATCCACATTTTTAGCTCAGAGTCAGACCGTCAGAAGTTCAGCCTCAAATGAAGACTTTCTCACCGTCTGATCCAGCTCAAATTTGGAGACAACCAGCTTTCCATATCATTTTACATCACAAAGATCCAACGGTGCAATCAAAAGATACATGGAGAACAATTTGACCCAGTTCACTAGTCTCGGAAGACTCTCACCCGGGAAACACATGTTTTACCTGTCCTGAAAGACTCTCACCCCCGGTGGACCTTAGGACGAGCCACAAGGCCCAATATCAAAGCCCACTTCGCCATTTCTCTTCAGAGAAACCCTAAATGAGACCTGGAAGACCTTAGGACCTATAAATACATTGTTTAGCAGCCCTAAACGAGTGTGTGCTCCTGTAATGAGATTTTGAGCCACCAAACTCTGTTTTTCTAGGGTTAGGCGATGGAGATGGGGATTTTTCCCCAGATCCATTGTTCTTTCTCTTTTTTATCTTATTTACTTTTCTATTGCATTCTTTTGTATTCTTCTATGTCTTTTATCATTCATTGCATCATGTAGATTAGTCCCAGAGAGTCAAGTTGTTTGAAGATATTGACAAGCATATATATATATCGATTATGATTTCTATTTTTCTAGACCATATTCTGGATCTCATCTCTTCTAAGTCGTTCATAAAGCATGAGAGTAAATTCATGACCTATTCTCTGAGCCTAGGATCGATCAGAGCCACGAGATTGCTGTATCAGATCATCCGTACCTAGCTTCAGAAGAACATAGTCGTTATAGGAGTCGAAAGCTACCTATAGAGAAGATGTGAGCAGACAAATTCAATGTCTAATGCATGATCTTAAGTTTAGCATGAGAGCGAGAGTTAATTGCTAGATCTAAGAGATTAGTTGATTAAAGTGACGACAGTTGGTTAATCATACATATGTCTATTCTTGTTCAATGCAGATTCTCAGAAACAGATGAAGATAAATCGCCCGGAAGCTAATTGGAAATGGCATCATACATCGATTAGAGTAAACTGGAGAAGTATAAATCGCTACCTATGAGTTAAGAGTCTTTAGTTTGAGTCGATATGCTTTAGATGTTCTTTTAACAATTCATCCTGCATTGCATTTTTTTGTGAAAACTAGATTAGGTTTAGTTTAGGATCTTAACCAAAAACCTCAAAACCTTTTATTGGTTTATGAGTTTGTTTACTTCCCAGTTTGTTGTTTCTCGCAGATTAGACATCCTCCCTGTAGATCGACACCCTAAATCCTACAACGTACATCTGTGTACTTGCAGACACTAGGGTTTTATAAATTTAAAATTTTTGGAGGACCAATGGGCTTGTTAAAAAAAACCATAGGCCTGCAAGTCCATCACCAACTCTTTTGATTAGCCCTTTATTAACCAGAGATTTTGCTGAGATTATACTTCACCATCCATAGGACGGTGAGTAGGATCGTACAGGGTCTAAAGAGTTTGTTTTCGGAAAGGTATCATCCTTTAAAGACCTGCGCAAACAATGAGTTAGGTCTATCTATCAGCCGCCATAACTGTTTTGCTAATAATACCGTGTTAAAATTCTTCATTTCTCGAAATCCCATTCCCCCTTCCACCTTATCTCTACACATCTTCTTCCATGCTATCCAATGCAAACCTTTGTGGTGTCCATCAGAGTTCCACCAGTACCTTGCATCTGCGCTAGTGAGTCGTTATGGATTTAGGTAACCGAAAACATGACATGACAAAAGTAGGCATTGCTGATGCTACCGATTTGATTAGGACTTCTTTTCTTCCTTTTGACAACAATCTCGAGGTCCAGCTGTTAACCCTATCATGTTGTCTGTCAGCTACAAAATTAAAAATCTTGGTTTTGGCGCCACCCATGCTTTCCGGCATTCCAAGATAAGCCCCGGTTCCCCCGTCTCGTGTAATGCCTAAAACTTGTTTTAATTCCTGTTGTACTGCCTCTGTGACCTCGTATCCAAATTGAACCGATGATTTATCAAAATTAATTTGTTGGCCCGAAACGCTTTCGTATTGTCTTATTATGCTCAGAATCTTCTGGCATTCTTCTTTGTTTGCTTTGCAAAAGAATAAACTATCATCCGCAAAGAGTAAATGTGAGACTGATGGGCTTGCTTTTGCAATCTTAAGACCCGTCAATAACTTTCCATTCTCCGCTTTCCTGATATTCGCTATTAGAACTTTCGTAAACAGTATAAATAAATATGGTGATAGTGGATCTCCTTGACGAAGTCCCCTCCCCGGGTTTATATGTCCTCGTGGCTGTCCATTTATTATGAATTTGTACCGTACAGAAGTAATACACCTCATCATCCATAATATCCACCTTTCTGCAAAACCAAACCTTCGTAATAAATCTTCGATAAAAGACCATTCAACTCTGTCATAAGCTTTGCTCATGTTTGTCTTAATTGCCATATATTTGCTCTTGCATGATTGGTTTGTCCGAAATCCGTGAAACATCTCTTGTGCTATCAGTATATTATCTGAAATCAGTCGCCCCGCTACAAAATCGTTAACTAAATTTACAATATCCATTTTAATAATTGGCCATGAACGTTGGTAAAAGAGTGCTGTCATTCCATCTGGTCCCGGGGCTTTCTCCGGGTTCATCATAAATAAAGCACTACAGACCTCTTCCTCAGTGACCATAGCCGTAAGCATTTCATTATTGTGATCTGTGATCATTGTTTTTATCTCCCCTAATGCGTCTTCAAAATCCGATGGAGAAATTGAAGTAAATAACTATTCAAAATAATTAACCTCCACGTTCTCAATGTCTTTTTCCGAGGTGACCCATGTGCCAACCGCATTATATAAACCAATAATCCAGTTTCTTTCCCTCCGTTGTTTAACTTAGGCATGGTAAAATTTTGCATTTTTATCCTCCAGTGTAGCCCATTGGATCCTACTCTTTTGTTGCCAGAATAATTCTTCATCTTGATACGCTTCCTTTAATTTTTTTGAAACCGCTAATAATTCCTCCGCTGATCGTGTATCATCATCTTAAATTTCCTCTAAAACCCGCTTTAGATCCTCAATTTTTGCCCGCCCATATGGTTGTAGATTATATCTCCATTTAGATATTTCTTTCCGACAGTTCCTGATTTTATCGGCAAATAAAATCCCCTCCCCTCCCTGATCTAAGTCCCAGCCTTTAGATATAGCATCCATCAAACCCTCTTGTCCTAGCCATCTTTTGTCGAAATTAAATTGTGCTCTTTTGCAGGGAGTTTTATTCGCAATTGTAGCAACGATTGGCCTATGATCCGATCCAATCATCGCTAGATATTCTACAAATGAGTGTGTGGATATATCATGCCAATTTTCATTAGCTAAAGACCGATCTAACTTGGATCTAACCAATTTTGAGTCTGCCTTCCTCTCCATGCATTGTATTTCCCCGGCAAAGGAATTCCACTAAACCAAAAACTCGTATCATAGTGTTGAAAGACACAAAAATGGAAGCATGTCTTAAAGGCCCTCCTTGTTTCTCATTATTTCCGGTTATCTCATTCAAATCTCCAATTATTATCCAAGGTTCTGTTCGTATAAGACTTATTCTTGTTAACTGTTCCCAAATTTGATCCCAGAATTTTGGAACCAGATCTCCATAAACAAAAGATAAAAATACTTTTTCCCCAAAAATCTTTGCTTCAACATCACTTATCCTATTATTTGAAAATAAAATAGTAACCTCAAATGAATTATCATAGAAATTAAAGAGCAAGTCAACCATTTGCCCCGGACGATTCAACCGTGTACAACTTATTATAACCAAAATGAAATTGAAATTTTTGTAAAAAAGTAAAATCTTGCTTAGTTTCTGAAAGAAATAAAAACTCCGGTCTATGTTTCTTCCAAATTTCCCAAAGATAGCTTATTGTCTACCGACTCCCAAGACCCTGACAATTCCAACTAAGTATCCTCATCAATCACTTGAGATTTTGTCCCTTTCTGTCTATTTTTGGGTGTGATGGACCCTTGACAGATTGCTTTTTGTGAGGGGAGATCAAAGCTTGAACCATTCTTTTCTTCGTATTACCTCCAATGAACGAAGCCTTTTACAATCTTCTTTTTTGTTCCTGCCTTGTTTCCTTCATTGTCAACCTCATATTCCTCACTTCTCCCCATATCCTACGTATTTTCCTTAATTCCAGTATCAACGATACCGTTACCATCAAACTTGGGTTCATTCTCCTCCAAGGTCGTGACAAACTCGCCTTCTTCCTGGTCCATGAGTTCTTTCACCACCGCTGAAGTCAACTGCATCTGATCATCCTGTTCGATCACAGCATCCTGAAAATTTCCTGCAACACTACCCTCAATCTCAAAATCCATCAGCGAATCATCATTTGCTAGCAATTGTTCCCAATCATGAACAGATTCTTCATTGTTTCCCAAACCCTTCCCATCTTCAGCCGTATTCAGAAAAACCTTCTTTGTCTCCACTTCCGTGACCTGAGCCTCCTTATTACCTGCTTCACCATCTTCAAAAGCCAAGTTTTTCCTTACCTTTTTCCCTCGTTGTGGAGTTTTGTTTATCTTTCCTTCAGTATCTTTATTATGGACAGCCTCAATCATTATCCTCTCATGCTCCGATAGCCCCTTACCAGCCTCTGCAGTCTCTGAGGATATCACCAGTTGATCTTGTAACTCCTTTGGAGATGCAAAACTTGCTTGTCTCTCATCTCTAGATGAGCCTTCGCCAAACCTTTGTTCACTTCTAGCTTTGTAATACCGATGACCTTCACTCATGTGTGCTTGTTTCACCTCTTCCCTATGATTATACCCTTTCCCTTTTCCTCTATTCTGGACTGCATTAGATTGTGTGGAGCTTCCATTCCTTCCCACTTCATGATTTCCATGAATTCCATTAACACCATGTGAACCATACATCACCGCTGCTTTGTATGTGACAGCACCCGAGTTTTGTCTTGACTCGTTGTGGAAATCTTCATGCACCGTCTGCTCCATGTGCTCGGTTTGGTTTGGACAAACCTTCTGGTCGTAACAAAGACTGAAGCAGGTTCTACAGTATCCAAATAGTTTCTCATACAGCAAGAAAACTGTGGTTTCCTCTCCCCCATGAAATTCGACTATAGTTTCAAAACAGAGGGGCTGCAAACCGTCGATCACCACCTGAACTTCGTCCAAATTCACTTCTTTTACATCTCATAAGGCTTTTTCAATGCTTCGAAATGTTGGATCTTCCCAGAAGTGGAGTGGTAAACCAGTGATTCACACCCAAAACATTATCGCAGAGGGATACTTTGTATCCACAATTGGTGCTCAACGCACAATTGAGAGCATCCAGTAATCGAAGTGGAAAGGCTCCATCTTCATAACCTCTGCAATATCCTCTTCACGATCAAAATCGAACTGAAACTTTCCGAGTCCCAGATCTGCCCCTGCTACCCTGTCTTCGATCTTCCAGATATGTGGCAACATGTGCAGCAGCATCTTCATGTCTTGCATCGGCAGATTCTTACATCTGCCAATCAAAGTCTTGGAGTACCCTTGTATAAGCTCCGAATTATCGAAATGAGGAACCGTTATCTTCATCTTCTTCATAGAGACCGCAATCTTCTTCCCCGAGATATTTTGATTCACCAAATTACTCTGAGACATTCTCTCAAGCCGTAAAAAGCACTTGCAAAGACAAAGAAAAAGGAACAAAATGCGATGGGTGTTTGTTTGATGAATGAGATTTATCCCTCTCTTTTTCTTTATATAGACTGTCAACCCTCATAATTCCTTAATGTAGAGAAGATCCCGTGGCTGAATTAGTGATTCCTTTTCCGCAAATTCCGATTTCAAATTGTCATTACCGGATCTGCGTAATCTTTCCTTCGTTTCAATCCATGCTGACTCAAAGGTTAAGCTTTCCTTTCCCAATCGATATCTCCTCCTCACGGAATTGGAGTCGGCAACTATGTTGAGTTTGTATCTGACCCAGTATATCGACCAAATCCATTCCCAGAACATAAACCGATTTGTGATCCCAAAATTACCTTACTCTTGTTGGGATCTATCATATCCCATCATTGTTCGAGTTATCTATTTATGAATCATTGTTTAAAACATTATCAATAATGTTCTTCCATGTTTATTTTTTTTATATGAGTATTCAATCCATAGTTTTATCCATAATTATTCTTTATATAACTATAATAAAAAAGAATTTATCTGCTTTCCATAATTTGTCAGTTATGATCCTAGTTATCAATTATCATGCGTATCATGCAGTGAATAAATGTTATTACAAACACTAAATTTGTATAACTAAGTAACTATAAGCTCAACATACACTTAATATAATTGCAATTTGAATGCAAAAGACAGTATTCACTATATGTAAATAGCAATATATATTGCATTCTCTCCAGCTTGATTCACTTACTCATGAACCTCTCTGCACAGATTTTTTATTACAAAAGAGAAGATTAGCAAGAGCGATATGTTGATTAACTTGATAAAAGCAGAGTAAAAATGAGCTTGCTTCTTTCTCTCCCTCTTTGTACTACATATCAAACGTATGACTAATAGGACACTAGCGAATGCATCTTCAATTTCCCTGACGGATAATGTTGGAGGTGAAAACCGCACCCTTGGTTTTCTCCGGTACAAACCAAGATCGGCATGAATTAAGCCCAGTTTACGAAGGAATTGTACCGGGAAAATTGGGCCGGACGAACTCATGGGTCGAGCATGGCTCGATAAGCCAAAGTCGGTCGAAACTTCTCAAAGGAACCGAGAAGCTTCCTGAGTTCGGATGACAAAGGAAAGTTTCCGAACAGAAAAAGAAAACTTTCGAGAAAGAAAGGAAACAGACGAGGGAAAAGGAAAGTATTCTTGGTCCCATATCGCAGAGGAGACTCGCGAAGACCGACTTAAGAGGCATATATAAAGGAAGAGGAATCGACACTAGAAGACATAAGAAATTCCCGAGAAACTTAGAGACTGAGAACTCAAGGCATTCTTTAACTTCTTAAGTTTCCTAAGTCTTAGTTCGTTTATCATTTACATAAACGAACTCAGATGTATTTTCGACCGATCTAATAAAATCCGAGTTTCTGATCTAAATTACTGTTTTGTCCCTTGTGTGATATTCATATATCAACAATTGGCGCGCCATGTATGGAGACTTAACAGAAAATTCAGTTTTAGATCGGATTTTGGAAAGATCGATTCAGCAATGACAGACCCTGTCAACGTCCACGACGAGGAGTATCCGCTCGGCCAGGGGAACGGCGATAACCGAGCTCCCGCAGAGCAAACAGGAGGAACCCTTGGTGAAACCGTTGGAACCGAGAACGGGCAGACTCCCCCAGCCGTAGGAGCCCTTGGAACAGAATTACTACTCCAGGTGTTCAACGCGCAGTTTGAAGCCATCCATAAAAGGAGCAAAGAACGCTTCAGCCAGATGGCGGCCCAGATCGCCGAACTCAGCCAAACCCGAACTCCGCTGCGAGTTCGTAACATCATTGACGATCTCAACACAGAGAACGATCCAACTGAAACTATGCGATCTACTTCTATCGGGTCGGCAAACGCTCAAACACTGCCAGATCTGAGTCGGGACGCCGAGTTCGAAGCAATGAAAGCACAACTCCGCCAGATCACTTCAAAAATTCAACAGGCAACGAGTGCCGCACTAGAGATCGATCGCGTCATTCAGAAAACGCAGAAGACACCCTTTACACCGCGCAGAGCCGGAATGCCTGTCAGGCACCTGAAGAAACTCAAAATCAAGATCTACGAAGGCAATACCGACCCCCGACAATTTTTGACCTCGTTCAGAATCTGCATGAACCGATTTCAGTTCAAGTCAGCCGAGGAGAAGGATGTGGTCCTGTGCCAGCTGTTTGTCGAAAGTTAGGGAGGAATAGCTCTCGACTGGTTCTCGCGACTCGAGGCGAACTCAATAAACAATTATAAGGAGCTAACAACGGCTTTTGTCAAGCACTTCTCCATGTTCATCGGACAGAACACCAAGAACTCCGAACTATGGCAGATAGCTCAAGGAGCAAATGAGAGCCTTCACGACTTCATCCACCGCTTCAAAATGATTGTCGCTAACTGCACAATCAGCGATGAAGCCGCCCTCTTATGTCCAGAAGGGAGCTCACATAAAGACAAGCTTCCAAAGTGCAATCAAACACAACCCCCCGCAGATCTTGGAAGACGCATTACACCGAGCTAACACTTACATCGCGAAAGAAGAGGAGGAGACAGTTCACGAACAGAGCTACACGGCAAACCAACCCAAACGACCAAATACTGACATTTACGAACCGCAACGAGGTTACAGCAGAGGGTACGAGAATCGCAAAAAAATCTACGCCAAAGCTATCCAACAACCAACCAAGCAGTGGAACAATAAATGGATCCGTAGTGACGAAGACCAAGACGAATCGCTATTCTGCGAATTCCATAATCGCAAAGGACATAGCACCGAAGACTGCACACATCTGCGGGAATACCTGCTCGCACAGTACCGGAAAGGACAAATCTCACTCGACGACCTCCGCCGTTCAACCGCTCAGAGAAACAAGTCGCCCCGACCTAACAATACACCACTAGAGAATACCGTCGCAAAAGATCTACCAGCTTTACCACAGCCTCCGCTGAATCCACCCGCCCAGCCCGAGCAACCCAAATGCAATCGCGAAGAGCAAGCACCGAGAACCATACCCCCAAAGCTAGGAAACGCGTCAACATGATCATGGGAGCTATCGAAACCTGCAGCTATTCAGTCCGGGCCATCAAGGAGTACAGCAGTCAGGCCGTAACCGCGCCTAAACTCCTGCGCGATCCACCGAAGGGAACCCCTTTGATATTCACTGAAGCCGACACAATTGGACTGCACAAACCACACAACGATGCTCTCGTTGTCGAACTCCTTTTTGACAACGTCGAAGTTAGCCGTATCCTCATCTATACTGGCAGCTCGGTCAACATAATCTTCAAAGACGTACTCGACCAGCTCGACATCTTATCGGACAAAATCGAACCTTTCATCGAATCTCTCACAGGATTTGACATGGTAAAAATCTCAATCTACCTTGCCGGAGTTACGACGATCATCCAGTTCCTCATCCTTGACAAACCGGCAATCTACAACGCCATTCTCGGTACACCTTGGGTCCACGCGATGAAAGCAGTTGCCTCCACATATCACCAGTGTCTCAAATTCCCAACTCCAGACGGCATCTACACTCTCCGAGGTAATCAAGCCGTCGCCCGATCGTGCTATAATAACGAGTGTAAACTTCTCTTAGCCAATCAAGCTGGCATCATCAGTTCGCTGGGCCCAACTGCTGACCTCATGTCCAAAAAACAAAGCCTAAGCAAGAGTCTATTACTCAAGTCTGCATCGACGAACTAAGGCCAGAACGACAGGTCGGCATCGACGCCGAGCTCGACCCAAAGATCCGCGACACCCTCGTTCACTTCCTGAAACAACACTCGTCCACCTTCGCATGGTCAGTCGAGGAAATGCCTGGGATCGATCCACAGATCGTTTGTCACGAACTCAACATCGACCCGACTTATAAGCCGATCAAACAGAAGCACCAAAAACTTGGACTAGAAAAGGCACAAGCCGTCAACGATGAGGTCGAACGATTACTAAAAGCAGGCTTAATCACCGAAGTCAAATACTCGAACTGGTTGGCAAATCCCGTGGTCGTCAAAAAGAAGAACGGCAAATGGCGAATTTGTGTCGACTTCACCGACCTCAATAAAGCGTGCCTAAAAGACAGCTTCCCTTTACCACACATCGATCGTCTTGTCAAAGCAATAGCTGGGAACGAACTCCTCTCCTTCATGGACGCATTCTCTGGATACAACCAAATCCTCATGCACCCTCAAGACCGGGAGAAAACGTTGTTTATCGGACCGCGACATATACTGCTATAAGGTTATGCTCTTTGGCTTGAAAAATGCAGGTGCGACATACCAACGCCTTGTCAACCGAATGTTTGCAAGCCAGCTTGGGTGAACCATGGAAGTCAACATTGACGATATGCTCGTCAAGTCACTTGTCGCTACCGATCATGTCAGCCATCTCCGCACCTGCTTCGATATTCTCGACCAGTACGACATGAAACAAAACCCCACCAAGTGCATCTTCGGTGTAGCGTCCGGCGAATTCCTCAGATACATCGTCACTCAGAGAAGCATAAAATCTAATCCAAATCAGATCGCAGCTATACTCGAACTTCCTTCCGCAACAACCAAACGTGAAGTCCAGCGGCTAACCAGACGCATTGCGGCACTCAACTGGTTTATATCCCGATCAACAGACAAGTGCTTACCGTTCTACCAACTCCTCCGCGGCAACAAGCACTTAGAATGGAATGAAAAGTGCGAGGAAGGTTTCCGAGTTCAAGAAATACTTGTCTACACCTCCAATTCTATCCAAGCCCGAGACCAGCGAGACGCTTTACCTCTATATTGCAATCTCGGAATACGCTGTCAGCAGCGTACTCGTTCGAGAAGATAGAGGCGAGCAGAAGCCAATCTTCTACATCAGCTAGTCCCTTGATGGATCGGAGTATCGATACCCAACCTTGGAGAAATTCGCCTTCCCCTTGGTTATCTCAGCACGAAAGTTACGCCCTTAC